TAAAGAAAAACATCAGTGTCATGAAAATAAATGTCTTACATGCAAGTACATTCTACAATATTTAAATAATTTCCAGATTTTCCCCCCATTGTTACCAATTCTAACTTACATTTACTCACCTATGGTAATTTTTCCTTGTATCTTCTCTAGAACAAAACGAGCTTGATTGTTAAGTTTGGTAGATTCTGCGCCCAACATTCCCACAAGCCATTCCTTGCGTAAACTATAATAATGTAATCGCAAATCAAAGAACTCCTTCAAGATGTCTTGCACCGTTTCATACTTCTTTAAACATCCCATATGATCAAATAGCACCTATAAAATACATAATATACTGTTTGAGAGAGACTGCATAACTCAAACTTTGTTAACCTTTGTGTATCAGTTTATTTCTATTGCACATATTCATGCACCACACAAAAAGCAGTATTTTGAAGACTGTGAACTCAAACTGTGCTATGGAACTACACAGCACATAGCTGGATAGATTTTATTTTTATTCACGAGTAGATTTGAAATTTATGGTAACACATTCAAACATGAAGACTGCTATATATAGAAATATGACTGAATTCAGTTGAGTGACTAATTTTATCTAAATATTAAAGCACAAGTTCAGTAGCACCTAATGATTCACAACTATTTAACATAACAGTTGAAAAGCATCTTTAATAATCTTTCGGTTCAGCTGTGAAATCTGCCACTTTTCAGCTGTGAAAACTGCCATCCTTCAAGTTCAAGCACAAAGAAATCATTCTTACATCATAGGTGGAATCAATCCTGCCTGACTTCTGGCATCTCCAATTTAGACATTTATAGGTGAACTAGTCACCCTAGGCGCCCTCTATAGTCAACTGAAAGAAATAAGCCCCTCTAGAGGGCAATTCATCCATCTAAAGTATCTACTTGGGAGTTGGGTGAACAATGACTACCTCACATAACTTTAAGATGCTTATACTAGGGCAGATTAATTCCTACAAATACACAAAAAGCAGCCCTTACTATTTATTTCAGTAGGCAGAAAACGCAGGATTAAGCTGTAAAACATTTTGTATTCTGTTAAACATTTATTTGAAGACAGATTCTCACAGCAGTTCATACAGTTGTTTAAACCTGTGAGAAATACTATCACCTAGATTTGCTAGATTTGCTTTTCAAGTACAATCCAGAAAATGGGTTGAGCAAGCCCTTTTTACTCTTCCAATGCTATGGTCTTTAATTTATTTTTAACCTATTTTCACATAGCTTTTGATTTATACAATAATAGCAACAGTAATGGTATTTTTGCTTTGTGATAAAATCTGATAGTATCTGCCATAAAAAAAAACCCAGAATTGTTTTTTCAGTCTCTGTAAAGACAGGTTGTTTGGAAATATTCTGGCAGAAATTATCTTACAATTCAAATCCCTCTTGTAATAGGTAAGACATATTTACTCACATTCTTACTCCCATCTTGCTACAAGCAGAATAAACCATATGAGTAATTTACATCACTATTATGTCTTCAGCAGCTTAAGGATAGTGTTTTCTATATCTTACAACCTAAAATGGGATTTATGTTGGTGGAAACATTGGATCATTTAACTCCCATTGAGGAGTAATAGTCCAGCATAAAGTGCAACTTTGAAAATGTAACTTGTCTCAAGTTTAAAACTCAACTCTAATTATAATATGGCAGAAAGGTATTTGTATGATCTACTTTACATTAACCATTTTTGGTTAGCTGCACAGGAAATTTTCAGGAAACTAACCACCCCGAGCCTGTCTAATTTGGCTTGAAAGATTCATCAGGACTAACATGGATTTGCCAATCCATATTGACTTAATATTTGTTATCACTACAATTTTCTACCATTCAAACATTTTCAAATACACAATACACTGTTCAATACCAAGTACCAAAGTACACTACAAAAACATTTGAGTTTACAACAAGCAACCGTAAGGATTCTGATAGCCAAACATGAAAAAGTTACCATAGAATTACAAGTAAGACTTGTTTGAAGCTTAAAAACTTTGTGCAATCCAGCAGCTTCTGCCTGTGCAAGTTTTTCTTCTGTCATCTTCACAACAAATTTCACAGTCGTATCAGTGTGGTATTCCTTATAGTCAGAAATTAATGCTGGAGTTTTTTCAGTCCCGTTCAACATAGGTTCTAGAACCTGTTCTTTGTACACCTGTTAAAAATAGGGTAGCAAAAACCAGAAACACTTCTTAAAATCCCTAATGCCTTAAGCCAACTGAACATCATAAGATTTCAAAGCTTTGTGAATTATATCTGATACCAGTTACAATTTACAGAACCAGCATAACCTGCAAAATGCAGGCCAAGACTAGCACAAACGTAAGAGGCATCTAACAAGGACAGGAAAGTCTACTCAAAAGAAGAAAAGGATTAAATATTAATTCAG